AAACAGAGCTCTGTTCGACCTGCTTTCAAACCTAAACCAGGGCGGGGCTGCAGGAGTCTGTGTGGACTCTGACGGTCAGTTCAGGACCACAGACAGTGACCGCCTGAGCAGCACACTGTTGTGACCACAGCAGAATAAACTCAGGTCCCTGATTTTGGCCTACAAAGGGCTAAAGGGTCCGGCTCCCGTCTACCTGAACCCTCTCTCAGAGACTCAGGTCCCAGCGGGTCCCTCCGGTCAGCAGCGGGCTGTGGTCCAGCAGAGCTGACCCACGTTAAGACAATCAGACTGTTTCCGCTGTCGTTCCAAGATGGAGGAATAACCTACCAAGAGCTACAAGAACAGCACCTGTCTATCTTTAGGGAACTCTTAAAGACCCCCCTCTTCAAAGAGCAGCTCCTATCCTAACTCCTCCCAGACCTCTGGACCTCTACTCCTCTTCCTGGGCTTCCTTCTCTCTCTCTTTGGGGTCTCCACTGACTCTGACTGGGGGTTTTCCTCCAGAGAACTCACTGTAAAATTGTGTCTACTTTGTAAGTTGCTTTGGATAAAAGCGTGTGCTAAATGCAGAAACAGAAACATAACTTTATCATAATGCACTACCACATCTAAGACCCACACTATTCACTGTTAACAATGCCTCTCATTCTACAGATGTGCAGAGTGACTGTGAAAAGATGATCCCGGCATTCATGATGACATCGGGTTAAGACCAGTGAACCTGAAACAACCCAGTGATCAGTAACTTATCAGAAGTTGGATCCTGACTCACCGGCCGCTGGGATAAGCCCCATCTCTCTCACCTCATTCCACTCATCACATTTAAACCTGTCAAATATTTAAAGCAGAAAAAGGAAAAGTATTCTGGGAAAATATTCCACTTTCTAGATGACATACATGTCTGGTGTCTTGTCATTTTCTCAGAACATTTGCACATCATTCATATTAATATGTGTGAAAATTAGCATTCTTATTTTCACAGCACAGGAACTTTTATGGACATCATGTCTTGATGCATTTAATGGCTTTAGTCCACCTATAATGTTTGTAATGTCTGTATGTGCACAGTGTTTCACTCCACAATAGTTGGAGGAGACAAAGCAGAGGAATAAGACTTTGATTCTTTCCACACAGAGGATGTGGATCTATATATATGCTAATCTGACTCTGGCCAGCAGATAATGGCCTTCATGTTTACTTTGACTCAGTTTATGCTCCGGTGAGTCGATCTGAAATTGAAGTCATTCAGCCCTACAAGTTTGATTCTCAACTAGACAAACATGCAAGTGGCAGAAAAGTTTTAATTTTCAGTTAAAAACAAGATTTAGCTGCTACTACTGTATTTTCCCATCGTACACCCTCTGTAGCCTGTGTTTGCTTTGGATTGAGTCTATTCTCTGCAATGCGATTCCATCAAGAAACCCACAGCCACCATCAGTAGCTTATTTAGCTTTTTCAAACCTATGAAATGATCTTGCACACTTGTTAACATGGTTGAAATCATGGTTTTAAAAAGAGGGAGATGACTCAGTGTTAACTGTGAACCCTTTCCCTAAAACATCTTTGCTAACACAAAACACAGTTGCTGTTTGAAAACTGTCTGGAGGTTAATATGTGAGAGAAGAATATTCTTTGACAAGCATTAGTATTTTCCCACAGTTTGACTAGAAAAGCTTGCCCGTCTAGTCAAAATAACCAAAATTTTCATATTTTCCAGGCAGTGACCGGTGTTGTTCAAACTGCAGCAGATATTCTGGTTAATCGTCACACCGCTCTGAATCACACTGTGCTGACTTGTCTCCTCTCTGCCTGACCAACATTTAGCTTCCAATGAGCCTAAATTAGAATTATGTCAACAATGTAAAGAAGCACTGCTTTTAACTTTTACCCCAATTGCTAATGATTGCTAATATCTCTATGTAACATCTCTTTACAGAACTAGTTAGCAGAACTCCAAAAAACAAACAAAAGTTGTGCACCTCCTCACAGGAACTGTTCTAGGTTCATGTGTTCTGTTTGCTCTGTGTTTGAATTACACCTTTGGGGTTATGTGCTACAACCGTTTCATTGACTGATGGAAAATAAATCCCAAAGCTCTTTGTTTACATTGGAAGCAGATCTTAAGATGAAGAAGATAAAGCCCCGGATAAACAACTTTGCAATTCCTGTGTTAAAAACAAAGGCCAATTAAAGCACAGAGTTTGACAAACACCAGACATTGCTCATTAATGTCACTGATATAATTAACTCCTACCTATTTATGAAGACAAGCTGCAGCTGAGCTACTAATCCGAAACACTAACATTCACAGGCAACCAGTTTGAGAACTGGCTCATGAAACCAAGGAAGAAAACATTGGGAATAAGAGAAAAGCTGGAACTGGAGAGGGATCGTGCTACTCTGGGGATAGCGTAGCATGGCTGTGAATCCTGATGGTCTGATTCTGTAAGGGCAGGTCTCTGGAGCAGGTGCATTAGTCAAAGCACAGGGAGGAACTCCGCTTTGCAAAACACAGACATGTTCATCTTGACTTACCAGCATAGAGTTCCTCCTGACAAGACAAAACCGGAGCCAGTTAGGGACAAAAAGAACTTGAGAGCTTCTACTAGGCAGAGTGGGAGTCCCTGTTTAAATAATGTGTGCAAAGCTCAACAAGACTGGTTCAAAAAGACTAAAACAAAACAGGTTTCACTTCTATCTAAAAGAGGAAAGATCTACATGTGAACATAAATCACCAGTATAAAAGACGACAGCAGATTATGTCATGTTCAACACTGTCTCATAGCATCTAACTCTGTACATAGATAAATATTGAGACAAAACAACAGCAGGATCAATGTATCTCTTTATAAATTCTCAACATATATTTCTGTACAAAACCATATATTTACATGTTTTACAGTTTAGCTTTGTACAGTACATACAAATTGCTCATATAAATATAGAAAAGCATGTTATTGGACAAATTTCAGTGCCTTATAAATTGCATTTGCAGAATTGTGCATTCCCACTTACACACACACACCCACACACACGCACACACACACACACACACATTCACCCACTCATTCACTCACACAAAAAAATTTTCATGTTCTGTTTCATGTTTTTTTTTTACCTTATAAGGTCTTGGAACACTGTTAAATGGTTTTTGAATAAAAAAACTCAAACCCAAATACAATAGTTGGACGTCACACCCGATCAAAATGGCTGCTAATTGCAAAAAGTAAGCTTGAATATTGACTGACTGACTTTTAAGGCTAATTGTGTCTGCATCTATTCAGGGTGACACATTTGGACTTATAAGGGCTTGCACATCTGGAGTCATACAATCAATTCTCTCTTCTAGAAGCGTCACTTCCAACAGTTATCCAGCACCACCCCGTATTTTCTTACAGTTTACTAAATAATACACTTGTCAGAACCAAAACAGTTATTCACCTTTTAAATTAAAAGCAATAAAACTCTACATCTGTATAGTAAAAAAAAGAAAAACTGTCTCTCTTATAGGTACAGTTAAAGTCATGTTTTACACTCAAGTAAAAACTCGTATGAGTGGTCCTGTTAACAGTTCATAAACTATGTTTGGTAAACAGGATTTAGGGCACAGCACCCGTCTGAGAACAAATATCAGAGTGAGGATTGCACGTTATGTGAAAACTGGAGTTTAGTTACACTTATATGCCCAACCAATCCGTGTTTTTCCAGAGCAGTTGTGAGGAGAATCGGGCTGTCTGCTCACAGGGAGTAGGGCTTCTGCAGGCACAGCGAGCCGTGCTGGGGCAGAGGGTGGCTGTAATAGTGTTCAATCAGGGAGGGCAGGTTAGGGAAGGTCAACTCCGCCTCCAGAAATATGCAGTCACCCTGTAAACCCAGCACACAACAGGGGAAAGCTGAGTAAAACGTGTCTGACCCCACAGTCAGTGTGCTGCAGAGAGCAGGTGCTTCTCACCTCCTCAAACAGCCGGTAGTTTCTGGCTTTGTTTATGCTGACATCCCACACCACCAGCACCTGGACAACACAAAACAGCCCCTCAGACACCAGACTCTGACCTGTCCAACAGCTACCACGTTTCAAATGTGTGACAGCCCACTGATAGCCGGAGACAGTCATTGTGTGGAATGGTGGAAAAGCAACAAGCTTTCATTCATGAAACCAAATGTGGACATTTTGTTTAATATTCCCGCCTACTGCTTCTATTCTTGGCCACACTTTGGTTAGATTTCAATGTCAAAAGTCTTTACATGATGAAAGAAAGGGGAAACAAATACAGAAATTAACTAAAAAAGGTTAGCATAAATGGAAATACAGTACACTGCTCTGAAATAAAGTTTAGACATATCTGGTAAGCTTGAACTTATAGAGGCTCTCTAAAGGTCCAGGTCCAGAGTCAGTCTGTGTTAGATTCTTTCCTTTTTCTTAAGAACTTTACTTTCAGAGACTATCTGCCTGCTGTGGATAGTTTATTTTTAGGCCTTTGCTTTTGTGCTCCATTGGTCCAGTCTCTTCAAACTATTTGTGTCACATTGTGATCCACCTGGTTTTTGTCAAACTATATAATCTTTAAGCAGATTCAACTGAAAAATTGGGAAACAATCTGAATATGCGTCTTTATGACAAACTGCTGGTAGCAGAGTCTTAAAAATGATTAACTTACTAATGGTGGTTTGAACCACTCTGTCTCTTTCTTTATCATTTATTTATTTTCTAAATATTAATAATAATGATTATAAATGATAATACATGTTAAAATGAACTGAATTTAATTAAATGAGGATGATTTGATGTATTCAGGCTTATATATGCTGAATATAATTTTTGTTCTACTCTTTATACATACTTCATACACATGATCTGAGCCATGGCTGTTATTTTTTACCTTTGTTGTCTTGGTTCCTGAGTTTCTGATGCCATACAGCCCGTCCTGAGGAGGAACAGGGCCCTCTCTGAATAACCTGCAAACACAAACATCCCAGCAGGTTAAAGGTTACAGGAAGAGAGACACTTTTGGATCACTAAATGTATTTAAGTTACATGTGACAAACCCCCAGCTTTCTCCCACTAGGGGGCAGAAGTACTCCACTGAGGTCTGGACTCAGCTCTCTGATCTACTGTAAAAGCCCGAGTGTGTGTGTGTGTGTGTGTGTGTGTGTGTGTGTGTGTGTGTGTGTGTCTCGTACTTTTCCACAAAACTGGTTTCAGTTGAGTCGATGAACACAGAATCTGGCAGCTGCACCTGTCAAAGGAACAAGCTAGATTAAATCTATATATTCATATTTATAAACGTTATATGTTACACAGGGTGATGCACTTGAAAAAGAGCTCTTATTTTAAATGAAAGACAAAGTTTGGTCAAAATCTAACGAGAGGACTTCCTCCCGGTCAGCCGGCTGAGGGTGGTCGGGCCTTTAGAGGGACAGCTCTACCTACGTTCTCATAGTCTTCATCAGACTCCTCTCCTCCTCCTCCGTGTTTGAGCAGGTTCCGTTTCCTCTTGTGCTCGTTGGGGCTTTCGTCTCCCAGAGAGCGGAAGCTCTGGCCGTCTGGAGATGCTCTTCTGACAGAAAACACTTCTTAGAGAGGCAGTTTCATCCACCCCTCACATACCTCTACACTACGTTAGTTCAGTTAGCAAAATGTGGATTGAACCAGATGGCTGAATAATACAGGGAAACACAACTTGATTTAGAAAGAACTAGACTGAAATGTGCTATTTTGGAGTATTTAGGAGTATTTAGGAGTATTTAGGAGTGTTTGGGATACTTACTGGAGATGCGTTCCTTGCTTGGACTTGGCTGAGGGCAGTGGGGGTTTGAACTGTGGGGGGGCTGGTTTGGGGATGCCTGGTTTACAGGGTAGTCCCCCCTTCAGGAGCGGGGAGACGGGGGGCTTGGGGGGGAACGGCCCCCCGGGGGGGG